GAAGAAGATTTTTCTGACATTTTACAAACTAAATGATTAATAGAGGCGCTTCTCATGTGAACACGATGCGTTTGAGTGTTGCTGCAGGGTGTTTGGAAACAACAAAGTCATCCTTCAACCTCCAAAATAAGACACATAAGGATTACTCATTCCTGACAAACCGTCACCTCTGCTCTGTAAACCTGCTTCTTATTAAAAACACCTCAAACTAACGGGTTTATTTCTCTCTCCGACAGTCTGCAGATCTTTCACACTGTCAGAGGACACAGGCAGGATCGTCAGGTACAACACTTTGTGGTTGGACAGCAGGGAACATCCTAGTTCAGTGTTGCCCAACATTTCTCTCCGGGGTTTTATTTTGGGGTGGATCTCGCCTGCAGCTTCTTCCTCCTGATCTGAATTATAGTAGAGAGAATCATTTCGCCGCAGCACTGTATGAGCTAAACTTAGGCACACACCATTTAACTACAAGCCAATCAGGGCTCGGAAACCAACATCACATGGTACCCACAAGAAGCTGAATAACCAGGCTGAGGTTTGGAAACTGTCATCGTGCCTCATTAGCGATTTTTGGCAGCAGGAGTCAAAACAAGCCTGACTCCAGTCTAAAATCCTGGCAAAGCATCAGCCTCATCTCTGCTCTTTGATACTCAGTCACATGATTTTGATATGATTTATCTGTTTTGCCCGTTGTTAATTGGCTTTCCAAACAGAGGAACTACTTTTTTCTTTGTTTCTATTTCCTCAAATGACTGAACTAATTTGATATGAACAACATTTCTACCAGAAACTCGTATTTTGAAGTATTTATGCTTTTTGAATGATTCTGTTTTCACCTGCCAAAAAGATTAAAGGATCTTTACTGCTTTTAAAAAACACAGCTGTTATTCTAGATTTCAACATTAAAACAGACAAAAAGTGTAAACATTTTATCCAACAGCATTGTGACCAAACTTCAACGGAAACTTTTCAAATACAACAGGATCTCTGAGCAAACTTAAGTAGCTTTTTATGCTTGAAATGGCAGCGCTTGGTGTAAACAATATGAATCATCACAAACCGAAGCTAAAAAAAGTGCTGACAGGCTCATAATCAACCGGTGCTGCAACTGGAAAACAATCAAGCTAAAAGACGTAGATACTTCAAGTTTCAAATAAACTATTTAAAGATGCTTTATGTGAATGCACCATAGACAGAAGCTAACTAAAAACATCTAACATCTCCAATGGCCAGAGAACCAAATGGCAGCTAGCTACATGCTAAAGGGTTTTATAATCTCACACTCAGCCGCATATATTATCAGAATTTACCTTGAAGCAAACAGGCAATTTGCCAACATAGTAAGTCAGAGCAGGGATCCTCCTCCATGTGTGTGTGTGTGTGTGTGTGTGTGTGTGTGTGCGCGTGACTGAATGGATAAATGGTTTGATTTATTTGTATACGCTTGTGTAGAACCACAACGCTGCAGTACACAAATACCAAAGCAATTACATGGTTTGTTCTCCTGACAGGAGGTTTTTATTTCTCAGTAAAATCTCCCACCCACTCCCATTTTGAATATCTCTGTTGTACATCATACAGAGGTTTGAACTCTCAAATATTGATATTGACCTCAACAACCCAGTGTCAGTTTGGTTCTAATATAACAAAAACACAACACATCATGATTATATGTGTAAGTTAATGCGCCTCAATACAGAGTTTTCACCTTCAGATTTTATGTTATTTGTCACTGAAACTATCATCTGTCTGATCCTTCTGATAATTCCACCACAAAACGTTTAATTTACTCTAAAAGAGAGAGAGAGAGAGGCTATTTCTTCTGTAAATTTAAACAAGGGTTAGCTAACAGGGTTCACCCTCCACGATGTCCCTGCTTGAATCTGTCAAGTCATGCTTCTCATATGTCTCCTGTGTTGAGACAGAGGGCTTCAGCGGGACGTCGCCAAAAATGGCCTGTGAAGGAGACGAGGACGAACATGTTGGGACACTGATGCAGCTGTGTGCCACAATGACCAAGCTGTAAACACACAGCCAGGCAACCGTAACCAGGAAGTACGTATAGATGTGTATAACATGTGATTGGTGCGTGTGTGTGAGTTACACACGTGAATCTGTTTTTAGTACGAGTGGCTCCAGAGGGAATTAAACTCTAGATAGAGGCAGTCAGACTCTGGACCTCTACAAAGACTCTGTTAGGGGATGCATAACACGACATCTGTGTTTCGTGAATCGCTGTGACCTTGAGCTTTGACCTTTGACTGCCTAAATGTAATCAGTTCGTCATTGAGCCCAGATGAAGGTTCAGAATATGGCTACAAACCAACCAAAAGGAATAGAGCTACAAACCAACCAACCAGAATACAGCTACAATCCAACCAACCAATCAGAATAGAGCTACAAACCAACTAACCAATCAGAACACGGCTACAAACTTAAGGGATTCCCTTGAGGAGTTCCAGAGATATTGTGTTCACAAGGCCTTTTGTGAGGTCACCGTGACCTTGACCTTTGACCTTAAATCCACCAAAATTGAATCATTTCATCCTTGAGACCTGGTGAATGTTTGTGCCAAATTTGAAGAAATTTCTTCAAGGTGTTGCTGAGATATTGCGTTCACAAGAAGGACAACCCGAAAACACAAAAACAACCGGGTGCAAAGGCTTAAAAAACTAATTTTACCGATACTTTTATTTTTCTGGTGATTTTTTTGTGGCTTGCTGAGGCAGTTTCACCATCGCACTCACTCTGCAGACAACAAACAACACTTTAAAGCAGGTGGATGTGGCTCCTGCTCACTCAAAGACTCCTCTATTGTTGTGGTAATTCAATATGGATGGCACAAGTGCATTTGTTCGGATATGACATCATTTTACTTCTCATTCCTCAAACACGACCAATGCAAAAACCCTCTGACAAAATGTAAATGAGGTATTTAGATAATAAAAGCAGCAGCAGCAGATGTTTGACCGGAATAAACCGCAGACCTGGGTGAAGGGAAAAAAAGGAACCACATAAACCGAAATTAATCATCGCAGAAATAAAGACTTCACAGCTGCGTCCTCACTGATGGACAGCTGGAGGGGAGTGATGATGAAGACAGTGGCCTGCAGCTAATGACAACGTTCATTATCAATATCTCAATCACTTGTCTATGTTGTCTTGTCTATAAAAGTTCCTATAGTCCAGTTTTGTCCAACGAACAGTCAAGAACCCCAAAGATATTCAGTTTACAACAAAGAAAAGTTTCAATAGGATTTAACTAATGAATGTTTGTATTTTCACTTCTTTAAATTATCAAAACTGAAAACGCTGAATATTCACAGAGCTCAGCCACTGCGGGACAGAATCTCTCACATCGGTGTCGAGGTCACATGGAAATTACAGTTACTGTGATTCACGCTTTCCAATGAGGTGACCTTGTGTGAATCGGACATACAACAGCACACGTACGATATACAGGCCATCTGCGGTGTTTCTGGGACATTGCGAGCTCCTTGGCACAGTTTCAGAGACATTATGCAGAGTGTTGGCGAGCGACCCCCGGTCTACATGACACAGGACTCACAAGTGGAGCTGGTAAGGTGGGGCTGACTGTGTTTAATCTTTGGATCTGGAGGTGGGAAGTTGTCTGTGTGAGCTCAAGTACAGGACCATATAAATTTATCTTTGGACTCTTGGTGGTCGATAAACGTCAACGCTGCATCTGAGCAGCTGTGGCCCTGAACGTGACGGTGTGTACATTCAGGGCTGAAACTGACGAACAGCAATCTGTCATTTCTACAATTATTAGACTAATTATTTCCTCTATAAATCATCGAGAAACTGTAAAAAGAAAACAAGAAGAAAAAAAAAGTCCCAGACCATGTGGTTAGTGATGCTAAAACTAACTGTGCAAATGAAAGTTAAATAGCAAATAGTCAGTATTTTTATATTGTTTGGAGAGGATTTTTATTATTTATTCAATTAATAGATTAGTCAATTCATTTACAAATTGTCAAAAAAATAAAATGAAAAAATGCCCATCACAAGTTTCCAGAACCAAAGGAAACGTCTCCAAATGTCTTTGTTTAATATGGACAACACTCCTAAACCCAAAGAATTTCAATTCTCAATGATAAATCACAGAAAATCAGTGTAATCCTCACTGTTAAAAAGCTGGGAAAAGCCAATGTTTTGCTCCAGGTTTGCATTTCCTAGTTGAGAAATCAAATAATTTTAATAATATAAGTAGTAAATGAACATGCATACTGAATACACTGAATTTACATTTCAAAATCAGGTTCTCCCCTTTCTCCTAAGATGCCCATTTGCTCTGTAACTCTCAGTGTGGTAAAGTATTTTGATCCTTTGAGTCAAAGCAGCAGTCACACAGAGAGTTAAGTTGTTTGGGGATAATGTTGTTTAGCAGAATGGTGCAAATCAATGGGAAAAGAGGAATAAAACATTGCCAAATGAGGCCAATTAGGGCACTTGAGCCCTATTCTTCCCATTAATCATCCCTGCATGTCTTACACTAGAAGCCAGGAGGCCTCGCACGCCATTCACCTGTTTATTTATCGTAATTCAATTACGCACAAATCCGACTTTAATAAGCTGGATATTCAGCTGACACACACGGTCGTTGCAAGAGCCAGCGGCAGCGACGTGACACGGTTGAGTCTTATTTCATGATGACAGTGTGAAAATGTGGTGACATCCTCGGCGTCACGTCATAAACAAGTCGTTATTTCTTAATACGGAGCGGTTTCCGTGACTGTGTTGTCGCGGTTGTCGCGGGATTGAACCGGAGCGAGCGGCTAACTCATTAGCTTATGTAGCTCCCCTGCTAACCTGGCGACCCAGCTAGCTTGTCCAGCGTCTGACAACAAACCTACCTAACTTGTTTTGAGGGCGAGGTCTCACGGGGGGAGGGAGGATGGGGGCTGGGGGGGGGGGGGGGGGGGCCTGGTGTGTTTTGTTTTGTTTTGTTTTTTTTTACCCGTTATAATGCACTTTACCTTGTCGCTGATATTCTCCGTGCTGTCGGGGTCTCCTCCGCCTCCGCCTCGCTTCCTCAGCTCCGTCATGTTTCGCTCGTTTCGCCGCCGGGACGCGTTAATGTGTCACATAAGCCGAGTCCGGGGGAAGGAGCGAGAGAGAGAGAGGGGGGGGGAGATAGAGAGAGAGGGAGAGGGAGGGCAAGGACGGATAAAATCCTGGGTTTTTCAGATAAAATCCTGGATTTTTAACCCGGGTTTGGCTTTTAGAGCTCGTTCCGTGAAGGAGGTCGGCTTTCCTGGGAGACAGCCGGTGCTGCCGAGCCGCTGCTACAGAGCTCCACAAGGTACTAACGACTCCACTGCGTGTGTTTGTTTATCACCGCAGTCCCCGTCCCCGCTCCCCTCCTACCGCCGTCAAGCTCCACGCAGTAACGACAAACAGCTTCCGGTGGTAACTTTCACAGTAAAAGCCCTGGTGAGGAGTGAGTTGCAAAACATTGCTCCTTTGCTTTTCCCCCATTTACTCTTTTTTTTTTTTTCTTCTTCTTCTTTACTAAGTCAATAGGTAAATTTGGGCTACAATTTATGATTATTTTCATTATTGATTAATCTGCTCATTATTTTCTCAGAGAATAATAAAAAGGTGCCTGCCATAATTTCCCAAAACCCAAGGGCAAAAATATTCAAATGACTTATTTTTTGTTGACAAAAGGTCCCAAATTCACAAATAATGAGTTTGCAATCAGATGTTACAAAGAAAGTTTAAACAGCAAATGTTTGAAATTCTGGAAAAATGAACTAAAACAATTAATCATTTATCAAAATAGCTGCAGATTAACTTTCAATCAACAATCAACTAATCTACTCTTAGAAATATTTTCTCAACCACTGTATTAAATTTTGAGTTACTTATTATTTTTATGTTACTTTTTACATTTATACACAGGGAAATATTGTGCTTTCTACTCCACTGTATTTATCATTTATCTGACAGCTGTAGTTAGTGGTTACCTGCTGATTATTGGTTTTCAAAGAAAACATATGATCAGCTTATAAAATATGAAATATATACATAAAAATATAATAATCACACAGGCATAACAAATATTTTTCATACTTCTTGTATATTTTGCTCATATTACATGTGTAATTTTAAGAATTTTAACAAAGTACTTGTTACTTGTACTTACCTGTAATTTGTAATTTATCCAGGGCAAGAAATCCTAAATATACTGTAAAGGAAAAATATCAGAATCCGCAGAAGTAAAATACCAAAAATAATACGTTACTACAGAAATGTTTGCTTTTCACTTTTACTCAAATAGAAGTAAACAAGTCGCCTATTGCTAGTGAAACCTACTAGGGATAAGCTGCAAGTTGTATTTTACTTTATGACATTATTTATTTCAGTCACTCTGTTTTCAGATGTAAACATACTTGAGTAAAATATAAATATGTCCAACATCTCCCTCTGAAAAGTAGAAAGTCTCATCAAATTTAACAATCAACTCTCAAAAGTGGACACAGGAAGCTTAATTACTTTCCACCACATGAAGTAATAATCTTATTTAAGCACATCCAGTTCCTCTAAATGACAACCTTTCCTCCATTCATTTCACGGATCAGTAAACAACCAGTTTCTTTTATTTTCAATCAGTCAGTCATTTTTATTTAACCTGTGTCCTGTCAGCCACGTTACTAGAAAGAGGGGTTTATTTTGAAGGACAAGCCACGAGAGTTCCGGTCCCAGTCTACGTTTCTTTATCAAACTTCACGCGCGTCAGCTGGTGCTGCTTCTCTCCCCCCTCTCCCTCTCTCCCCCTTCTCCCCCTCTCCCTCTCTCTCTCTCTCTCTCTCTCTCTGCCCCCCCCCTCCCCCCTCTCTCTAGGCAGGCCATACTTGGTTGACCGGCTCTGCTTCATGCTGCGGTGGGCAACCACCGGTAATAATGTCCCAACTTAGACACACACACACACTACTATACTTGTGGGGACCCTGACTGACATCACATGCATTTCCTGTCCACCAACCCCACCCTGAACCATCACAACTGCACATTCACACCCAGCTATTAATCTGACAAGACAGCACACACACAGAAACACACATCCAAGTGTGGCCATTTAAAGCTTAATTCCATTGAAATTTAACTTATACTTATTAAATCTTTAATAGTGTAAATGTTTCAGGCAGCTAATTATTACACCTTGGAAACACATCACAGACTTTGATGTTTTATCCATCCACATTTTCTCTGTGTATTTTATTTTCTCCAAACAAAATGAACCAGACTCTTTAACTCTGGATTAATAGTTGAAATAGACCTTATAATGACAGTATGAGGTTGTATTTTATTAATCAAATATGAGCCAATCAACCAATCTCTAAAATGTCTGGTATGTCTGTTACTATGACCTTTTTGCCACAACATTATATGAATGAAAACATGATATCAAACCATCAAAGATACAAATAAAAATACATAATACAAAGAAATGTATTTATATGTATATGACTATATACATTTTTAAAGTAATAATAAATCAAATTGAACCCACAATGGAACATTTGAACATTTAAACATTACAAATTAGCAGATAAACTAATATCCACATTAACAAATTCAACTGGAAATGGTTTGTGGAACTCACTTGGTTATACTTGTGTGTGTTTGTATACATGTGTGATGCATTCAAAGTCTGCGATGTCATTTTGATTATCATTAAGTCTATGAATGATATGAGCTGCAGCGCATTCAGTTTGAAATGAAATAATGGAAACTAAACTAAAGCGCCAAGTCTCATCTTTAATTTGAGTAGGTTTACATCAATAAAGAAAGACCTGTGTGGGAGATACGGCCCTTTAAACAACGTAGTGCCCAAATTTTAGGGGCTGAAAAGTAACTGGACACTTGCACACATGCACAAAAAAAGCTCACACGTGACTCGGAGCTGAGAGTTGCCATTTAGATGGAGGTGAAGTGAACATGCCTCAGTCTGGCTGAGAGACAGTTTGGACGCTGCACCGCTGCGAAGGTAAAGGGGTTCGCTGGATTTACAACCCAAAGCAAAAGTATTACCTCTGCAAGAAGAGCTGCTCCCGGCTCTGGTGGGATCACTGATGTTGAGGCAGCTGTTTGTTTGCGAACATCAGTGAAATTAATTGGGAGCACCGATGTTCACGATGGGCTGCCTACAGGACACAACAGAGGGGAAAAAAAGTCACATTTAAAGTTAAAAGAACAGTCTAACATCACGACAATCAAAAACCTCAATGAGGAGCTCGTGTATCTGGCTTTAATCCGTATCCTTATAACGTTCATATCCAACTTTTACCTTCACTTAATGTTCCATTCAATATGTAAAAATATACTTTTTTAAAATTTTATTTGATTCTGTGGAAATTATGAAATGCTAAAATACTTGGTGCAGATTGTTTATGTTTACTGATGGTCACATGGTCAATTATGTGTCAATCAGTGAATGGAAGCTCATGTAAATAGTTGTTGCTTAATGTTTTTCTTTTATGTGAAAAAACAATCTATAATTAGTAAAACATTAGTATCTCCTCTAGTTTTCATTTTCTTGCAACTGCATATTGATTGTGTGTAGTATTGATTCAGCTCTGTCACATTTACAAGTTATTAGCTCCTGCATAGAAAACTGCAGATCTCACTGAATACATCTTCAGAGCTGAAAAACACACTTTAAAATATTTTGACTGTATATTTTTCTAAGGAGGATTATTTAATTTTGGTTTTACTTAAATTTTTCTCAAGTATCTTTTTTTTTTTCTTCCCAAAAGTACAGTGTACAGAACAGCTAAATGTGTGCAACAGTACAATGAATACTACCCGTATATTAACACATTAGCATCCATATTACAAAAGTTATATTGGACATAGTGGATTTAGATAATCTGTTCTTTAGAAAGGAGGATTATTTTCATTTTCTTGAAACTTTTTGTTGTATAATTAATTTTAAGGTATATATTTTTTGTATTTTTCACCAGCTGCAATGTTAAACTTGGTAGTTTTATTTCATTGTACATGGGGATTTGAAGGTTTGGTGAATTAATTACTCAAATTAATCATTAGTGATATGTTTATTTTACACAATCAATTTGTTCCCTTTCTTCGTACTCACTTTTCACTAAATTTCCCCCCAAAAAAAAATAATTGCGGAAGAAAATCTATAACTTTCCCAAAATTAGAAAATGCAACACGAGTCTGCCTCTGGTGGTAAACAGCAATTATTTATTGAAATGAAATTAAAAAGAATAAGTACCAGATCTATTGCATTATTGTAACATCTTGTTTCTGTAAGGGGGGGGGGGGTTGCTCTACTGTTTTTTCTCTTGTAGGATGTAGTGAACACAAATATACAAGGAACATTCAGCTATCACAGATTGCACACCAGATACTGTAGTAATGCAGTCTAATACAAGACCACCAAAATAATCCAAGATTTTCTCTTTTTTTTTTTTCCTCCTCCATCATCTTCTTCTTCTTTTACTAGTCCTAGATTTTTTTTCTCCATAAAGAGTACAAAAGTCCGCCCAGAGTTGGGGACACGATCTGCAGCTCTGTACACAAACCTGACGCTCGGTCACTCGGGGTAACTCATCAGACAATGCCTCCAAAAAACAAGAAAACCCAAAAGAGAATAAATCCAAAAAAAAAAACAGAAAAGAAAAGATAATATAATGCCGAGAACATGTACAATGCACTGACACAGAAAGTCAGCTGTGTTAATAGACATGCAACAAGTAACAAAACTTGCTGAAATCGCAATAATCATTAAAAAAATCTAAAACCAGTTATAATTGCATAAATACTTTGTACAGTTCATTTATCCGCTGTGAAATGCACCTCTCTGTTAAAATGACAACGTAAAACTGCATTCAATAAAAACTCGCACTTCCTCTCGACTTTTCTTCTTCTCCTTCTTTCTTTCTTTTTTTTTTTTTTTGTACATGTGAAGGTGCAAAACAAACTGTTGATTGATAGAAGCCGACTCGGCCTGTTCAGCTAGGTGGCATGATTGCACGCTAAATTACAGTACGTAAATGCAGAATGATATAAGGACGATGACAAGAGTGCATATCATTAGTATAACATCAGAGATCTGTGGGGGGGGGGGGGGGGGTTTTTTTTTTTTTTTTTTTTAGACTTGTGAGTTGTGGGAAACAAGAAGGACAAAAAAAAGTCTCTCTGGGAAAGAAAGTAAGCAGCACTTGAATGCACCGTTGTTGCCACACGAACCACAAACAAAAAGACATGAAGACGTGAATGAAATTAGAAGGGGGCGGGGGGGGGGGGGGGGGGGGGCAAATCAAAGGAAACATATTTAAGTCTATTCATGAAAACAATAGCACTTTGTTTTTGTGGAACTACTGAGGCCAGCAGCAGCCGTCCAGTAAAACAGCATTTTGTGGTGACATATTATAAACGTGTGCACGTGACAAACTCTTTCTCTCGACTCAGCTGTTGTCAACCGTCGACTCTGAGCTGGTTTCAATGGCGTTACTTGCATTTAAAAGGCTCCTACTTCTGATTTTGGCGGCTCCTGGTGGTGGCATCAAAAATTGACACTACATATATACATTAGTATTTTAAACATGCTGCACAGGCACCACGTATCTCTGATAAAATAAAGGATTTCTTGAAGGATTGAGGACATTTTCCTTCTTCTTCAGATGAATAAACTCAGAGATCATCTGTAAGATCCACTGAAGCAAATCTAAAAACTGAAATCTTTTCCTCAGCTCATCAAACATCGTTTCCCCAGGACGGTGACAGTTTGTTGTTGTCCTTGTTTCCATCGTTGTTTACCAATACGGCTTTATAATAAAAAGCCATTGATCTGAATTTGCTTTGTCATTGACGTTTCATTGCACTGTGTCCATCAAGATGTTTGTTGCCGACTTTCTGATAATGACAAGATGACTCCTAGTGTAGTTTTCTTAAACACTTTTGTCTTTTCTCTTGGCTCATGTCTTGTTTTATCTTCCAATATGAATTAATGGACGGTGACACAGCAGCAGGGACGATGACCGGGCAAACTCATAACAAAAGCCTTAACAGTGCAAAACAACAAATGGACAAAAACATATGTTTTGGCACAAATAAACCCTCACAGATTTGTCCACAAGTAATTCCTCCAGTTCCTCTGAACTATTCTTCAACCCATATTTTAATCAAGAAAATATTTCATTTTAACCCCAAAACCTTCCCTCAACTAATCTTTAAATCAACAAACAGGATCACCAAATCCAAAACTGGTCATTTCAGTAAGTTATCAGTGCATTCAATTCCTGCCTGGCCGTCCGACTGGATTGGAGCAAGAACAGGGAACAAGTTAGTGTCAAACGAGCAGCTGATATGAATGTTTGTCACCTCAAAATACAGTTTTAATCCTCATCTACTGGGCTCAGTAGCTAGGATGTGAAATCGGTCAGTTGTGGACATTATTCCCTGCATGTGTTCCACAACTGCAACATAAAGAATCAAAGGGTCAAAGAAGCAGTTCTGTCCCACCGTCTCCATGCGTTTCACCTTTTTAGACGAAACACTTGTTGATTTCATGATTTCATGGCCCAAACGATTATTTACATCTCAGAAGTCGACTGACTTTCTCTCCGTGCTGAAAACGACTCTTTGGAAAAAAAAAAAAAAAAAAGGTGCTTGGCTGCTGCTCCTCCAGTTTAACATCTTCTACATGGATAAAGTGTATGGAGTGCCACGTTCGCTGCTGTATTAATGCCACAGGATCTAAGTGAAGTCCAGCAAACGACAAATAAAAACTACAATTCATACGAAGAGTCCCTTTTCTGTGTTGCATTCAAAAACCTGTACAGTAACTCAAACGAGGCTAAAAAGACACGATGGAAAATAAATGTGCAGCAAATATTACATGTGCGTGTTGTGTGCATTGTTTTTGTTTTACCCAATTCTTATTTTTCACAGATGATGAACCCATGATGTTTTCTCTCCAGACAAAATGAAAAAAAATAGGAAAACATAGAAAATCTCAAAATAAATGGAGTGATATGGTTTAAAAATAAAGAATAATAATAAAAATAAAAAAAAATCTGAAAAGATAATGTGTCCAGTCTTCGAAAAGCAGCAGCAACAAAGATTCTCCAAATGGGAATTCATATAACGGACAGAATAGATGATAGGTTAAAAAAAAAACAAAAAAACAAAAAAACAAAAAAAATCAATATAATTGATAGATTGAAACAATTTGGCAAAAAAAAAAAGGAAAAAAGGAAAAGATAATCAGTTATAAATCTCTTTCTGATGGTGATGGCTTGACACTGTGGGCAACGCACACACACACAAAATAAATCACATTTTTGTAAACAACAACAACAACAACAACAACAAAAAAAAAAAAAATGATCAGGAAATTATAAAGAATTTTGCATAACTAGACCCACTTAGTAAATTCAACCCACAGACATTAATTATTGACATTCATATCCCTCCCTCCCTCCGTGTTATTCCTCTGGACTTGCCGTGACTCGTGACGCAGACTACACACAATCGATTTTGTTTGTTTTGTTTTTTTAAAGCCAGGAGTGGTTAGTCACAACGCTATGTTACAGGCAATTTGTTTTTTTGTTTTTTTTTTTGTTTTTTTCTTCTCATTGACCTTATTTTTTGTTCTGTGTTTGTTCCTCTTAGAGTTAAAAAGGCCATGGTAATTATTTACAATATACACAAGTTTGTTATTTGTCTTGCAGTGAAAGAGGAAGTGAGTTTTTCCCTGTTCTCGATCTCAAAGCAACGATGGCGGGTGATTGATTCAAGCGTGCCGCGTCAAGGGTGCGTTTGCTTTTTTTTTTGTTTTTGCTTTTTTTTCCCTCCAGGAGACGAGTGCAGGTGGTAAAGTGGTGATTGAGTTTTTTTTTCTCTTCTGCTGAGTTTTACTGCTGTGATGATGAAAGAGCCGACGTTCCCTCCTGTTAACGTCTGTCAGTGTGTTACAGGACATGTGGTTACTGTTGGGGTAAAGGGGGGTTTTGAGGGAGAGAGTTTTGGGTTATGTTGGAGGTGCTGAGGGGACAACAAGGCAGATAGAGGAATGAAACGCTCCTAAGGTAGGAGTCCTCAAAAGGAGGGGTTTATTTTGCCGGCGGCGGCAGGTGGAGGTGGAGGCGGAGCTCAGTTTCTGCAGCCGTCCTCGACGCTTCGCTCATGTTGCAGGTTGTAGTAACAGTTCTGACAAACTCGCACCGGAGACGAGATCTTCAGCCTCTTGATCTCTGATTGGAAGCGACTGCACCTGAAAAACACGGAGAGACAAGGTGGATATTTAAAAAAAAAAAAAAAAAAAAAAAAGGCAGGAAATTCAGGTTCTGAAGGAGCAAAGATGTTATGAAGAACAAAGCAGAAGAGTGGAGGAAAACATGAAAATATATTGACATATGCAGCTTAAGTGTAAGTCTCCTACTAACAACACAGTTATCAATGAATCTAATCAGTTGCTAATGAGTTCAGATGTAATAACAGAGGACCCGGGACAGAGCCCTGGGGAACGCCAAGTTAAAAGACGCTGAGGATGAAGTGAAAAGGAAAGATGCAAAGTGTTTAACAGCAGTGCTCCAGACACTCGGAGAGAAATTCTGCAGAAGAAATAACACAAAACGTTAATAAGAGTTCATTTAAATGTATGAAAATAATATAGAACTGAAGAATATATCATTAAGGAAACGTAAGCAAAAAGCCACATATATCTATCATATTTAATATTAGAATGATAAAGTGTTAGCTAGAAGTTCACTTGTGTTACCTCTGTCTATTATTACCATGACCTAAGAATATTGTCAGAAACATANGAGTTCATTTGAATGTATGAAAAATCTCATATATATATCATATATCATACATATATCTATCATATTTAATATTAGAATAATAAAGTGTTAGCTAGAAGTTCACTTGTGTTACCTCTCTCTATTATTACCATGACCTAAGAATATTGTCAGAAACATAACCCAACATTAAATATTCATGGCTAAATAGGCGGCAATCAACATTCATCAGCTAATCTGCTTCATCAGGACTGAGTGGGTGTGGTTCACTCAGACAGCGGCCGTGCAACATGAACAAAATAACCCACCAACTATCTTCAGGTTCTCATTTAAATTCTAATTTAAAAAATTCTGATTGGTTGACAGAAAAAACTGGCCCTGACAAAAACAGTACGGACAGAAATCCGTCAAGAGAAACAACCAAAACCAGAGTCGGCGGTCATTTTCTTACTTCTGGCAGAAGAGCTGGCCGCAGTTCCTGCAATGGTGGCGTCGCTCAGTGAGGGAGAAACGAACCGTGCAGCCGGAGCAGCTGTCGACGACCTCATCCTTCACCCAGTGATCGGCCGCCGAGCGACCCGGCTGGTCGCTGACCGACCAGCTGAACACCCGACCACGCCCATCGCCCACCAGGATCTTACTGTGGTCCCTGAGGAGAGGGCGATAAAGGGGGGGAGGGGCCGAGAGAATTACAAGGTGGATGGGAAGAAGGTGAAATTGTGCCTTGCGTTCAAAAGGATCGTCAGTTTGGGCAATATGGCAACAACAGTATGTCCGTCACACCGATAATTCACAAAAATAAAAATATCATCTCTGTCAGTTTGGCGTCAGACGCTTTGCTCTCTTACTTGGAGATGGCGAGGGAGGAGATCTCTGCTGGGTGAGCGTTGTCCTTGCGATCGAACGCCGTGTGCATGGTGAGTTTACTCCGGAAGACCAGCTGGCGCTCCCATCTGTAGCCTGAGGACACAAAACACAAACACTCAGAGAAGCAGCATTTTAAACATCCCATCAGTGCAGGAAACTCTGAGGGAAATGATGTTTTCTCTGTAGCGTTCTTGCTTAAAAACTGAAAACTTTGCGACCGACTGAAACACTCACACGCACCTGCCCTGAGCTGGTTATACGTCCGTGCCTCCATGGTGGAGGGCTGGAGGGGCTGAGGCACGGAGCCCTGGCCTGGATGAGCCGGATGAGGGTGGGGGCCTTTGGTTTGGCCCTCAGAGTAGTTGACGAACACGAAGCCGTCCTTCTCGTCGATGCTCAGGGTGTCGGACCAGCGGTGAGAGTCGTCAGAGCCGCTGTCCATCGACCACGAGGCTCCCGTTCGGGCTGAGGGACCTTAGAGGTTTTTATTAATCAGGAGTGAGAACATCAGTTTGGACGGAGGGTCACGGCTCAGAAAAGGCAGTTTCTAATCTCAGTGAAGGAATTACACAGGAAATTAAACGGAGAAGAGGAAGGTGGAATGACAAAGCAAAAACGGTCCTTGTGGACAAAGAAAACTTTGGTTGAATTTAATTAAACACACGAGGAGTTAAAGGTGGTTAAAGTTTAAGCTTCTTATATTTAGCCTCAGTAAAACACATGAACATGGAGGACTGAACTGTTGGTGAGCTGATGGTTGTTTACCTCTGGGTCTGTGGACGGCGCTGCCCGGCTGGCTGCCTCCACCTGTCGACGGGTTGCGTGGTGCTTTGGGCTCCTGGCTCAGACTGGGCTCGTCTCCGTCCGACTCGCTGCTGTCGTCATCACCGTTGTGACTCTCGCCGCCCTCTGAGAGATTTAACAAATGAGACTTTACTTTTCAACTTTGTGAACTAGTTGTGAATATAAATCAAAAAAGGAGTTAAAACGTTTATTATGTTTTGGGACGTGACGCCGCAGCTCTAATCGGTTTTTGTTTTCCCTCCTAAACTCACCGATCTTCTCCTCGCCACAGCAGTCAGGCACATCTGGCTCCACCGGCTCCGGAGCAGGGGTTTCTGGGACTTGGAGAAACTCCATTCTCCAAAACTACAAAAAACAAGGGAAAGGTTTCATTAATTTAATGTTTTTAAGAATGGGTTGATACGAGCCATCGCAAGCGAGGATCTCTGATCTAATCTGCCAGTGAGGAGTGGAGGACAGGACACTGTTAGCATGAGAAGACAATCAAAGTGGTCACGGTTACCCTGACGACGCCATCGGAGTGACCCGTGACTATGACGTTCTGCGTGTCCCACTCGTTCATCTCCGACACGCAGCAGCACAGGATCTGCTGGCTGCGTCCCGTGAAGGTGTTGGCGCTGGCGATGGGGCTGCCGTTGATGCTCCACACGTGGATGTAGGTGCCGGCGCAGGAAACGATGTCCCCCTGCACATGCGCGCGCACACACACACACACACACACACACTCTTTCTATTACATTTGTTCTGTGACTTCCTGTTGGTTCACTCATATTTATCGTCCTTCATTTGGAGCTAAAAGAAGAAATTAAAGCGGGGACCCACCGTCAGTTCGTTGATGCACAGAGCAGAGACGGGCGCCCGGTGACCCCTGAGCTGCGTGACGAAGGACAGCTTGTTGAGGTCCCAGATGATGCAGGTTCGATCCCGCGAGCCGCTCACAACAATGTGGTACGCCGACGACGCCGTCAGACATGTTACGGCGTCCGTGTGGCCCAGTAACGCCTACGATAGAAATGAGATGAAATCAACTAATTTCACCACCAGAGTTTTCTGCTCTGAAGAGTTCTTTAATCAATCATTTTAAGCTTGTTCATTAGATGTTTCTTATCTTATACCCGTTTACCTGTTTGAGCACAAGCGACTTGGCCCTCTCCTTGGACGTTCCCGTCTCCCACACACAGATGGCGGTGCTGGTGCCGCCGGTGATGACCAGCTTGGGGTTCGGACATATGGCACACAGGATCTGACCCCACTCTGACAGACACTCGTACACCACCAACGCCTGAAACCAGATAGATGATTAGGATGGAAGACCGGCTCCCCGACGGGTGCAGAGGTGAGGAAACGGAGCCTGAGGTTTGATCTGTTTGATATCGCCGATCAACAACCCCTGCAACTGACTACTTTGAATTTTAAGGCTTTAGAAAGTCCTGAAAAGATTTACAAATCTAGTGAGAGTTCACCAATAAATTCACTAAAGATAAAGAAACTAAAACCATAAACCTTTTGACCTGTTTTGTGTTTTACAAGGAGAAAAATCTGATGCCCAAGTAACAGTTTCACACCGAGAACATGAGAGACGTCTGTAAAAAGCTGCTGCTGTAAAAACTGAGGGGTCAGTGAGGAAAGTGTATTTTTACAGCAGCACCAGCAGGGGGAAACGCAGAGTAATGTTTCACTTTAACCTGCCAGCTTCAAGGTGAAACACAAGCAAGAGGGGACTGAAGAAGGTAAAATCTGCTGACTCATTACCAGTAACTCTGGATAAGGAAGTCAGTAAAAAAATACAAATACCAATCAGCCTGTAAGAATAACGAAGCGTGCTCTCTGAGGAAACCTGTGGTTGCTATAGTAACTGTTGCGGACCTTGTCGGATTCATAGTTAGCCAGACGGCAGCTGAGGTCGGCGTAGCCCCAGGCGAAGGTCTTGCTCCAGGTCGGGGGAGCCAGGACTTTGTTTTGCTCCACGGCGAGGATGCCCTTGTCAGTGCACACGATCTGTCCCACGGGTTCCTTCAGCTCTGGAGAGGAGTAACACAGAGACACGGTGTGAGCGCTGAGTCTGACGGCATTCATGCACCTGACGGAAGTCGGCGCCGTGCAATTTCTTTGTGTTCTGTTATTCAGAAAGAATAACAAGCGACGAGTGTCGTACCTTTGACAGGCGCTAGAGAAGGTCTGAGATTGTCCAGATGATGGAAGAAGATCTTGTCGCCGCTGGCGCTCGGAGGAACGCTCGCTACGTCGCCGTTGGCTTTACTGCGTACCCGTTTGGGAGGGTGGGGCTTCTTAAACAGCTGAAACACACGAGAATCAACACGTGAGTGATTAAAGAGTGGGATTTAAACATTCACTAGGAGCTAAATGATGTCATGAATGTCCTGACTGACAGTTTGGAGCCACGTTAGCAGCTAGGTGCGGCTGTGATGCTCATTACAGGGAAGACACTGATGGATGGATGAAAAAAATAGGGAAACAACTTTGCTAATGTGGCTAAAAAACTAGCTGCTGGTGACAGTTATCATTGATGTTTTAATAGCAGTGGTAGTGGTCGTAACAGCAGCTGCAGTCTAGGTTGTAGATGTGATCTTACTAGTGGTAGTAATCAGAGTAAGCAAGGTTTAAGAGGTAGTTTTGTCATGTTAGCATTAGCATTAGCGGCAGTAGCAGCATCAGATGTTATAGTTGTGGTTGTAGAGGAGTGGGAGAAGAAACAGCCGGTGTCCGACCTGTTTGGGGATTTGTCCGAAGTTGTTGATGAAGCCGATGGTGGCCGTCTCTTTCAGCGGGTCGTTGATGTTGTAGATGTCCACCTGACCCTCGTAGAACAGGTGGTGGAAGACGTTGACGGCCTCCACCGCCGGCGGCCCCTGCTGCTTGTAGCCAAAAATCAGGTCGATCCACTCGTGGAGGTGGGCCGACACGTAGTCGCACTCCAGCGCCTGGAGGGAGGGAGGGGGGGGGGGGGGGAAAAA